TGTGTGTGTGTGTGTGCGGCTGTTTGCTTGAATCCAGGACTCGGGGATTGATATCGGTGATATCTCAGAGAGGAAGGCTCTGAGGAAAAGGCTGCAGTGTAAAACTTTCCGATGGTACCTGGTCAACATATACCCTGAGATGAGGATGTACAGCGACACCATCGCATACGGAGCAGTAAGCCGCCACCTCCCTCTTCATCCCAAATTCAGTTCAATGTCTGTAAAAGCCAAAACAAGGCTAAACCGTGCCTGAGCAAATCATTTTAATCCCTTGTGTTGGGATCCGGATGGCTGCTGTCAGGAACACAAACAGTTCACAAAGAGGAGAACTGTTTGCTGCTGTTTGGCTTTTTCCTTCTCACTTCAGAACTAACTGAAAAATACATTTCTGTTTCTGATTAATGCGATGAAATTAGATACATAGATAAATATATAGATTAATTTGAAGCTTACTTTAAATATAGATGTAGGCTTTGCAGCTTAATGTTATTAGTCAGAGAAGCCAGAAAAACTGCCAGCCAGCAAGGCATTCTGGCAGTGTTTCTATTTGCCCATTCCTAGTTGTTCTCAAACAGCTTTATTTCCACGGTCCTCCCACCTCACATCACTGTGGTGCACCCTAATACACAGTGACACACAGGCCGCAGTATTATGGCACCGCTTTCTGTGTTGTATGGGTGATTTTTTTTTTTTCTTGTACAAACTGACAAATCGTGGAAGGATATAGCGAGGAAATAGGCCGACCTCATTACATTAATTTCTCTGAGTTAGTTGACCTCATTATTCTATATTTGCAACATGCATTTGATGGGGCTAGTCAGTCATGGTGGTTTGAGGAGTCTTACATCAAATAAAAATATTATTGATGATTTATTTCTCCGTCCTCATCCTCCTCGTTCTGATATTAAAATGTGGGTGAGGAAGGTGCGGGCGGAGGCCAGCTGTCCTCTACAGCTCTGTGTTCGCTAAGCCATGCCCACGTTAGAGCAGTACAATCAGATTTGAAGGATTTGATTTAAATCCCTCTTGTAACTACACACCACCCCGTGTTTCAAGTTTCCTTCAGAAATACGTAACATTGCAGAAGTTAAAGATGCTCTTTATGCCGTTTCATTGTGACTTTAAGATAATGTTATCCCCACAGGTGTCACTGTTGCATATTTACAACTTTTTCACTCTCCTGCAGTAGAAATATTTAGATTTGAGCTGTTGCTCGAGACAATGCAGATTCACTGATTGAAAGATAGAAGAAGACCTCTCCTGAGCCAATGGGGAGCTGAATAATTCCTAGCTTTGTTCTTCTGATCTCCCACCTAATTCACTCCCCACACAAACCACCATCCCTGGAGCTCCCTGCGGTGTAGTTTGTATCTTGCAATCAGGCAGACCTTTGTCATGATGCGCATGAATAACCCTCTGGGCCTCAAAGTCTGAGTCATGTTCATCAAGCGTGACGCTTCTGATTTACATTTTTATAAAATAGAAATGAATTTAAGAGGATTCAGTGTTAGTTTTAGATGTTAGAACCTGCTCAGCTTGTTCTGTAGTTTCTGTAAATATCCTGTAATATATATATATATTCTATTTAAGTGAATCCGAGATAATACGCTGGGCTGACTCTTGTATTAGATGGTTACTGTGGGATATAAAAATCTTAAAATCTCCTGTCCAACTCTCACACACAAAAAAATATCATATTAACAGCAAGCACCACAGCAAGCAGTACTTAATGTTTGGATAATAGTTACTATAATACTATATTGCAGAGTTGAAGAGAGCAGGTGGTAGATGCAACGTCCTCACTCTCACTGTGTTTTGACAAGATCAGGAATTCTTTATTATTCATAGTCCATCGAAAAAAAATTTTGTTAAAGTAGCAGAACCTCTCTCCAAGTACACAGTTTTATGTTCACCTCATGGTGGTTTCTGTTGTTTTCTGTTTCACTATAAAACATTATAGATCATCAATACTAAGCATAGAAGACAGGTATTATTACAAATTACATATATATTCTTAACAAATACAATATTTTGTCTAATCATCAATCATAATTCCAAACAATTCTGTATTCTATCAACTTCACAAATTTTTCAGAACACAGTACACCCAAATCTCAATAGAATTTATGGATAACCCCTAACTAATTTCATAGTCTCTCTTAAAGTACCTGAAAACTTCAGATCTTTGTTTATAACATTTTTGAATAAGCAGCAAGTTAATGACATCTTTAGGTATTTGTTATGAAGAGTTTAACACTCAAAAAATCAGCTAATCGACTGCTTCAGGACTGTGTGGCTGCGGTTTTATTAGACTTGATTGGCAGTCGCCTGGCAACCTGCCAACAGTCATCAGTGGCATGTTCAATCTGATGGTGTGCACCATTTGGTACGGTTTCCGGATTGAACGGCATGTTTCCTTTAAACAGTGTGAAAAGGTGCGTATCAGGCTTTGAGGTGCATTTACTCGCATTTGGTGGGTGCATCAGAAGTGTTACCCAATTAGCGATGTGTATGAAAACACAACCGTAGGCAGTGCAATGCACGAAAATAGGTTTTCAGGGCCTTGAACACATCTATCCCCTAACAAAATTTCTAATTGTTCTCAAAAAAATCCAGTTTGAGAGCAAATAATAATCCATCACAAAAAGAGTCATTTGAAAGAGGTCATCCCTTTGTTTTCTATCAGTTGTATTCATTGCTTTGTCAATACAATTCACATTGAGGTGAATCAAGCATGATGTGTATTGTGATGGACTTGAATTGAAGCTCACAATGGTCTTAACTTTCTGAAAGTATTATTCATCAATTATTCATAGCAGCATAAATACTCAGTCACAGGGTATCAAAACAACTTTCACTGGTTCTCAAACTATGGAACTAATTAATTAAAAAACATATTTTCTAATCAAATTACTACAATGAATGAATGAAAATAACATAACGTAGTCACATTTGTACATACATCTATGATTAGTTACAAATAAATATGTGATGGCAAGATAGAAAGTGTAGGTAAACTAAATAGTTCAAAAAGACAGCAATCGTGGCTCCAACTGTTGGGAAGAGAAGTGAAGATCAGGAGGACCCCTTTTCCAGAAAATTAGCTCTGGTTCTTGTACCGGTTCCATTAAGGATTCAACCTGCCTCCTGCGTGAACTGTTCATAGCTGAATAGGGTCCAACTATGCTACTGTATTTTAACATCAGTCATAATTTGGGTACTTGTAGAGCCAAATATTTTCTGAGCTGGCATGTGGTGTCAAAAGTTTTTGAAACACTGACTTAATTATTACTGACTTAGATATTAACAGGTGTTTGTTTGACCCCTAGACAATTCATATATTTTGTTCTTTGTGTATGTGTTTGTAACTGTGTGTGTTAATCTGTGTCTGTCAGCTGAAAAACTCTCTGAAGAACGACCTGTGTCTGGACCAGGGGCCTGACAATGACAACGTCCCCATTCTGTATCTATGTCATGGGATGACACCTCAGGTTAGAGACCTCCCTCTCTCTCTCTCTCTCCCTCCTGCATCATGTACCATAAAGCCAGATTTAATACATCACCTCCTATATCTTATTTCCATCTTGAGTTTCTTACTCAATAAAACCTCTTCCTTCTTTAAGAAAAATAACTTGCCTTCCCTCTGCTTTCAGATTGGATCAAAGTCAGTAGCATTACCTCATAAAACTGGAGCAGGTTTTCTGTTTTGCCCTTTACAAAAACAGTCCTTGATGCTTTTAAATACATATTAAACTTCTTTTTTCATACAACTCCATTTAGGGGGCGACGTGTCCCAAATGAATCCAGCTTAGACTAAAATGCCACCTTATCGATGAAACACAACATTACATTGTACCTGGACATCTATTTCTGTCTCCAGCTTTCCTTAGTTTGATGTCAAAAGGATACATTTTTTATTATAATATAGAAATTAGAAAGATTAAAACGGTTAAATATTCCGATTCAGCCTGATAGACCATATTTCAACCGCTGGCTTGTTGTATGTGTTTTCCATTAGTCAACCTCTTAAAAATCTTATCTTTGGACTGCTTGTTCAGGATATATCTCAGCCCAAATAATAGGCGGTTTAAGTGTCTTCAAATGTTAGCACAGCTTGATTATCATTTACTTTCTCCAGCCTTTTCCAGCTCCTATCGATCCCTCCATCCCATTATGTCTGAGCAGATTGTTTTCAGAGATTGTTTAACCTTGCTGTGGCAGTTGTAAAGTTGTCTTATATAGTGAAGCTTGATCTCACATTATCCCTCTAAAATCAAGTGAATGTATTGGACATTTCACAGTCATGGCGCCTGTATTGATATTTACACCAAAACTGACTCAGGAGAAAGCTCTGTAATCTTAGTAACACCGTTTCCTTAAAATAAACCCATTAATCAAATTCTACAGCCTGTTCTGAGACCTAGATAACTTTAAAACTGGCTAATTATAATCTGTTATATTCTATAAATCTCTCGTAAATCCAGGCATATCAAACAAAGGATTGGAGTAGCACCAGCATTCCTAATGAGATTAGGGATCTCCTCCAAGACAAATCCAGTCTGCTCTATTTTTATGTTTCAGTGTTACATCATCGAGAGGAATTAGTCCCTGGATTACCTCTATAATCATACATGTGAAAATGTGTCATTGTAAAAGGCCAGCTATACTTTTCATTAATTTGCCTCGAGAGAGCTAGACTTTGTATCTGAGATGCTGCAGTAAACGTAGCACACATGAAAGGAAGGGTATTACAAAGCTCACAATCAAACATGTGACTGACTTTACAAGAGCATGTTGTCAGCAAACATACAGTGCAGCACTTCAGCTCAAGCAGTAATACAGCATGCCGACATAAGCACAGCTACAATAGAGACCACAGCCACATATGGCCTGGCAGTCTGCACTGCTCCAAAAATGAGCAGCACAAATAAAAAAATCACACTTGTCAGACTGTAACGTCTGGTGTGAAGGAAGCAGGAGGCTGTTTGGGCGTTATCAGACAAATAAGATTAGAGTAAGAGGATAAGAGTAATAGTTAGACAAGCAGCAGAATAGGCAAATATGGCCCTGATTTATCATTTTTTGATAAATCTCGGGGTGCTTCGCCAGCTAATCGGGTTGCTGAGTCAGAGACCATCTTTACCCAATCCCAATTATTGTTGCACTTTCCCCAATTTTACTCTGATATAAATCCAACTCCTCCGTTTATAAACATACTTCATTAAAAGTAAAAGCCCTTTGTTCAAAATGTTACTCTGCGTCAGTCAGGGACCCCCTGACGGATTAATTATAATATATGACACTATTAGTTTGTTAATACTGATGCATCGAAGTGTAAGTAGCATTTTACTGTTGTGGCTGTTTGACGTGGAGCTAGTCTTTTATACAGTATATATTTAGATAACACTTAAGTCCAGCCAACTTCAAGGTTGGGGCATAAATAAATCTGTGGGATTCTGAGATGATTAATGGTGTAGGAAAGAAGCAAAACACAACACAAATTTGTATTCATTGTTTGAGACTTTTCCCTAATTTGTGCTATTTTTGTGAAATATTAGATAATTATACCTATTTGGGTCTCAAACAGTTATGTAAAAGAAACCATGTAAGAAGTTTTTGTGGTCTTCAGTGAAACTGCTAACAAATCATAGACGTTTGATGGTGCCCCAACTAGGACAGGTTTGGAGCCATTGATTTAATGTTTAACAATACATTGTTTTACATAGGCTTATCATATTTAAAAATGTAACGGGGCAAAAAGTACAATATTACCTTTTGAAATGCAGTGGGGTAGACGTTTGCTTAAGTAAAGTAGCCTACCTCAAAATTGTACTTAAAGATCCCCTCCAGACATGTATTAAGACAAGCTGCTTGGAACATTAATGTGTGTCTGATATCTTTTTTCCACACAAAAAAGTATAATTTTCACATTAAAATCCCTAAAAAGTCATCTGCTCCTTCTACCTCATTAAAAATTCCAGAAACTATGAATATGCAGATTTTGTTTATTTCTCAAATTTATTTCTTATTTCTCTAACGTCTCCTTCTTCACTGTTAAATCCATTCTCAGTGTTTGTGCACTGGAGGCTTTAGGTTTCTACATCATACTTGTATAAGTTGCATACTGGACCAGGATTGACCTCCAAACTACTTGTGATGTTACAAATCATGCTTTTAGGCCCCGTCCATTCATTTCAGATTTTCATTGAGCACAGAGAAACTTTCCACTTTCATCAAACATCCTTCAGGTGTTAAACTCTGAAAATACATCATTCTGCACAGTAAAGCTCAAACGTCCAACTGTAGGAACAAGAAGAGAAACGGATTTTTGAGTAACTTACTTTCCACCTGTGTTAAATGCAAAAATTAGCTATTTCATATCATGATATACAGCACAGCCTTGTTTATTAATCTGTGTGAATGACACCAAACTAAAGCCTGCTCTGTCAACAACAAATTCTCCCTCTCCGTCTCATTCTTATACCACTAAGTCTTTTTCTTTTTGAATACAGAACATGCTTATCCTGCTTTATTCCTTTCGAATGATTTTCAGCTTTTGTCAGCTTCATATGGACAAACAACTGCCCTTGAAAAAAGCAGTTGGAAAGGATTTCATGAGAGAGGGCACAATTATTCAGGTCCTGAATTAATAATGAGCTTATTTTCCATCCATTGCCTTGTCTTTCCATTCACTCAGGATAGCTGAATAAATATGCATATTTAGTGTATGTAAATCAACCACATAGAAATGTCTCTTTCATACCCAAAGACAACCAAAGAGCAGGCCTCATTTGCTGCATAGTTTTTAACCTATGGCCATATACAGCTCTGGAAGGGCCATTATCTAAATGTCAAACCCAGCAGTGGGAACATGCAGAACAGCACTATACATGTTGCTCAAAGCAGGATGGGATGTTTCTTGCAGAATGTGTACTACACCAGTACTCAGCAGCTCCACATCGGGCTCCTCAGTCCCACCGTTGATGACGACGACAACAAGTGCCTGGTCGATGTGAATAGCAGACCGCGCCTCATCGAGTGCAGCTACGCCGCAGCCAAACGCATGAAGCTCCACTGGCTCTTCACTCAGGTGACACAACCCCCATGCATGATCACAAGATTTAACATTCAGTTTTCTGTTGATACTTGGCCTCAGCTTAAGGTCATTTGTTTACTATGACAGGAAAACTAACTGTGGCGGTAGTTTTTAATGATGCAAGTGGTTCAATTTAATGTTTGACTGGAGTTCCCCTCAATTCCGCAGCTCATTTAGACATGAAGAGTCATTGAAACTTAATGATTTTCTTTCTTCATTAGTGGCACTTCGCTTGCAAACTGTGTTTTAACAGAACAAGCAGTCACCTCACAAAATGCAAAATGAATTGAATTTACTGCATGCTTTAATTTCCGCTTAAAGGCCTCTTATAGTTGTCTGCTATGCTGTCAGTGCAGCGTTAATTATAGATTTTGTTCCTCTTTTAGTCAAATATGTATAGAATCTCAATCTGTCATCATATTATACACTTGTTATAACGTGTACAATATCCCTTTGACTCTGTCACTTTTGCACTGCTGTTACAAGTGTGTCTATTTGGTTTTACACTATAATGGGCACAAAGTGTGAAAAGGTTTTATACGCTTGAACTCATACATCACACATCCTCACACTTAACTCTAAATGGCTTTTTTTGTTAACTTTGTATAATTCAGTATGCAGGATGGGGACATATCAGCAAAGCTGGAGTATATCACATCTCAGAAATATGGAATCAATTATTGATACAGTTTTGACTGCACATTTGCAAAGTGTCAAGCTCAAACAGAAATAGCTTGCCTTGATGCAGCCATAGCAACTTTGGAGAAAGAGGCACTGTACAAATTAGAGAGCGAGAGAGAGTTTATTATTTTTATCTTAATTCAAATGTTGCACTGTTCAGTACAAAGCCTGATTAACTCGAGATATTCTCAGTCTCTTTTCAGTGAAATGTACAAAACTGCTTCACCTCCCTCACCCACTGCAAAAACCTCTAATTATCCACAAAGAAGTGACTTTGATAAGCCTTGATTTGTGAAATGAAATGAGCTTGCATGTAAAGATTAGTCATATGGTGGCAAGTGCTGATTTTTCTGATTAGAAAATCAAACACATGTTCAGTGGGTGGGACTGTACGGGTTGTTTTGCTTGTGTGTTTTGTTGGTATGTGTGGGTTGATGCCGTTCTACTTTTCTGCAACAGATAACTATTGTTCTGTATATAGCATAGTAAATTTAATGTAAACTCTAACAACCCATAGCAGCTTAAATCAAATGACAACCTTCCCACATATGCTCACATATACATTCATTAGCCAACTTCTGGAGGTTGTTTTAACAAGGAGCACCAAGACGTTACATAGATAACTTGGCAGTGAGTGAAACCCAGAGCACCTCATTTTATCAGTTTATGTTCCAGATTTTCAGGGATTCTGGGTTTTACTTTGGTCTTGTTCCAGGCTTCTGAATCGCTGCCCACATCTTCGATTTGTTCAGCGATTCAAAGATCTGGTGTCTTGCTAATGGACTGCTGTTTCCTCCGATTTGAGAAACAATCAACCAATCAGGGCTTTGTTGGCAGGATGGGGATAGGTAATCTCTGTGCCAGAAAAGCCAGAAAAATGTATGTCTATGGATTGAAATGCAGCTGTACAGATTGTTGGAAATCAGCTTACAAAAATATAACAACTGCTAACAAATGTGTAACACGTCTTAGCAACTGCTACCAAAGCCAGGTGGGACAGATATGCCACTTGTTACTCATTGGTTAGGGCAAAACAAAACATATATAATACCATAATAGGTTTTCAGTTAATATTAATTAATTTTGAAAGTCCTTTTATTAATCTTTGAAGGATAATAATGCACTAAGTTTTGGAAGTGCAGTTCCCATATTGTTCTGGGTGATGTTAACAGGAAGCATAATGTTGCCATGGTGTCATTGAGTTAGTTGTTTTTTAGCCTATATTTGTTTACATGTTGGCAATTTGGCAAAATTAAACCGTATGCCAAATTAGCTATTTGTAGTTCCTGTTTGCTGAGTCCTTGTGCATGTACACAACCATCACTGGATCACTTTGATGCTGAAGAAAGCTTAAAAATGTGTGTGAATCTCAGAAAAGGTCTAACAAACAAACAAACAAATAACTTCATGTTTTTAGAACACCATCATAGAATATGATAATTTTATAATCTCTTCAGTTTACAATTCTGTGTGGGGATTCAATAAATATAGGATCTGAAACAAATCTGGCTTCATGTTGCTCCCATTTAGTTGAATAAATGCCTTGTTTGACCCATTCACTTCTTTTATGAGCTGGCTCAGGACACCACCACATAGTGGTCCATAAATGCCCACTTTCAGCAGTTATTACCAATCTGTTAGCTATAAAGAAAATGTCTCTCAGACCCCACAGACCAGGCTAAACTCTTGTGAAAATACAGAAAGAATAGTTTAGCTCCAAGACTGTACAACCTGTCCAATCCTTGAGTTTTTTTTCTTTTCTTCCATCCCTCTGCATTCCTGTCATAGTATTGGAAGGAGCTCTCTTCTCACAGCTCTCTACACTCTGTATCGACCACTGCTGGCCTCCTGTACAGTCACTTGCCCTTGGTCAGCCGTAACACTGTAATGAGAAAATCCTGCCTGGTTTCATCAGGACATGCTGAATATTTTTGTTGAGCTGATGAGCTCATTCTGTTCAGACTCTCTTCATATAAAAGTGAATTGACCTTACTTTTTTTATTTTGCAATAAAGTTTTTGTTCTTCCTCAAGGCATATTATTTCTTATCCACCCATAGATTGAATAATTGATTTAAATTCTTTCATTTATTTAAATTGATTTATACAGTATTGTAATGGTTTTGGAACTTTATATGAGGTTTTTGTGTCCCTCATGCCTTTGTTTCAATTTTTCTTCCACCTAAATACCAGATGTTTTTGTCCATTTTGTATTGTGCCTTGTTTTCTCCTTTTGGTTCTTTTCATCTGGTGTATTCTCTCAAAATCTTGCCCTGGCTAGGGAGAAAGCTAATGACTACTCTGGCAAATGTATTGTTGTTTTTGCCTTGAAACCATGTTGATGCTATGTGGTGGGCCCAATGAGAATAGTAACGTGAATCAGCCAAAATGCCCAGAGCTCAAGGTGCTTCAGCAGCTCACATCCGTATCCATTCACAGCAGTGTGGGTTTAAAGGAAGCAAGTTTTATTGTGCGCACAAATTGTTCTTCTGGAGCCTGGCACAATTTTAACCAGCCTGCTTTTTTATCTTTTCAGGGAGGATCCATTCAGAACAGAAAATCAAAGAGATGCCTAGAGCTTGTAGCGAGCAGTGACAATGAGTTCGGCTACCAACTGGCTCTGCAGAAATGCACTGGACAGAAATGGTTCATCACAAACGTGCTGTTTAGCAGCTCCTTATGATCGGCTGCTGAAAGGAACACGGCAGTGCATAGCACACCGGACTGGATGGGGCCATTTCTTTTGTGTGCACATGTGTATGCGCATGTGTGTCTGTGTGTGAAAGGATGTGAAGCAGGGGTCCGACAGAAGAGCGGTGCCTGGTTAAACGCGATCATTTTGAGCACCATGATGTCCTCTGATGAGCAGTTGACATCACATCGTAAATGTTAAACATTTTATTTTGCCTACAGGATCAGCCATAGGTGGCAAATATTTTGCAGATTTGACAAGGTAGTATATTTAGTATATTTTGTGGTAAATACAGTACAGTCAGATTTTCGTTGACTTAAAAGATGTAATGGGTCCAATATGTTTTTGTACTGTTCATAATTGCTACTGTGTAGCAAGCTTTCTGAACCTGTCTCTGCTGTAATTATTTTATTTTAGTGTCTCAGGTTTGTAGGTTTATTATGCGGTTCAGCTGTACAGTTGTGGGAAAATGTTGGAATAAATCAGAAAATAATAGATTATTTTGTAAGTGTTAATATTTCGAATATTTGTAATATGTAACAACTACTGAGTGAAAGTGCCTTTATTTGGTTTGTTGTTAAAGGCACAATCCGTGATTCAAATCTGAAAAAGGGTTGACCATTCATTGAAATTAAAAGGACTCCAATCTGCTATCAATCCAAAATATTTTTGATTTTTGATTGTCAAGAATTTCTGATGTGTTCCTGTGACCCTGAGAAATCAATGCACTGCAACTAAAGAAAACATATGCAAATAGACAAAACACCTATTCACCAATTTGACAACACATATGCAGCATTACAAAATGCCCTGCAAAGTCAGAAAACAAAACCAAGTACAGTAATGCTGCAAGTTGCAGAGAACAACACTGCAATGTGTTGAGCCCTCAGTCACCACAGATTTGGCCTTCAAAAGGGACATTTTATACAATACAGACTATTTGTACATGCACACACACAGCATTTAGAAAATACAGAGTCGTGGAAGTGATGTTCTCAGTTTGTAATGACAAATGCAGGGGCAGAAGCTGAGAAAAGGGGCAGCTTTCTGCTCTGACTGTTGTGTGTACCTGGGGAGGAGTCGAGTGGCACAGCCTGTTTTCAACATGCCAGTCCTCATTACCATCTACATTTAAGCAGAGCTCTGCAAACCATGGCATTAAATATACATGGAAACCCACTTTCATCAAAAGCACCTCCCTCACTAACACGTCTTAATATATGCAATAAGAGCGCCTCTGCATGCTCCAACTTTTGAATGAAAGAAATTCAACAAAAACAGCACATTACACACATCCTCTTTTAGTTGACCCCTTGTTCTGATTTCCTGCTGGTGCACTTTACAAGCATTACTTTCAGCTTTAAAGTGACGGTAGATGGGGAATCTGTGTATGTACATTTGCTTAATATTCTATCATCATACATACATTTATCACCCTTGTTGATTTAGATCATCGTCGTGCCACAAAATAACTTTAAAAAGGTTTGAGTTTGGCACAAAGTAAACAACAGAGAATTAAATTCCCTATAAACCTGGAGTAAAATATACATGCAACTGTGTCCCAAAGTGTTGTGGAGCTGTCTCTATCTGAGCATGAGTCACACACAGTATTTCAGAAAAGAGCTGGCCTGATTTTAATGAAGATGGGGCAATAATGTGTCTGTCTTCCCTTTGAGATCTTGCATTTACAAAATTACAGTCATTTCCCTTGCTATGGGAATTAAATACTGACTTTTAACAGGTACATATCCTGCCTTTCTCAGTCATTAAAATCATGTTGATATGAGCAATCTGCCACTGGAGACAGTTTTTTTTATGGAGAATGCTTCTTCAATTCAAACTATTCAGATATATACTGCTCTGATTTTGTCTTTTATGTAACAGACATTTGTAGTCACTAGACCATTTTCATATTTATGTTATTTTTGTGGAAACATGATGTTAAAGGAATCCCTCCCTGGGTGAAAATGCCTCCAAGAAAAAATACTACTCCTGGATTGTGTGAATTTTTTTTTTCTTTGCTACATTAAGTGCAGAGATCTCCATCTGTGGGACTTAACATTTTGATATACTATAAACATGCTGTTGAAACATTTGGCTAGTGTAGAAAAACAGACGTTAAGATCAAGTGACGCTTTAGATTATCACATATAGATTACAGTGTAATTACTTAGGACATTTAGAGTAAGTCAACAAGTAAAATACATACTGGGCACATATACCATGACAGATATATAAGTACAAGGCATAAAGTCAAGAGAGTTGGGAATATAGAGAGTAAAATTTAATTAGGCCTATTATACACCGCAAACAGCAAAAATAGGTAAAACAGGGCCAGTATTGCAATGAAATTAGTTATGGTGTGATATATTTTTTAATTATGATATACATATTTATTCAGTTTTGGGATCCAGTGTAAGATCCATCTGGTGATCAAAATTGCCACATGTAGGATGGCTCCATTTTATAGTAAATGGACTTCACTTATATAGCACATTTCTAGTCTTTCAACCATTCATTTTATAACAAAGCTACCATCAAAGGACATACTGGCCAAGCCTTTTGATCCTGTGTGTACCTTGTAATCATTTTATATGTGTACTGGGTAATTAAAAAAGTATTTATAGTGTAATTCTTTTCAGAGTCGCTCCCATGGGCACCCCCCCATGTTCCCTGTACTTGTCTCCTTGTACCTACCAGAAGGTACAATTAATATTTCATTGGTATGTCATCTGCAGGCTGTAATCTAAAGCATTTAAGTCCAGTTTGTAAATTTTTTAAGCAGTAATTTGACATTTTGAGAAATACGTTTATCTGTTTGTGAAGAGTTAAATGAGAAGATTGATACTAATCTTGTATCTGTACTGTTAGCTTAGCATGAACACTGGAAGCAGAGAGAAACTAGCCTGGCTGTGTCCAAAGCTCAACGCTAAAGCTCAGTAATTAACACATTCAAAAGTTTAAAAATGATATGTTTTATGTTATGTGTCATACTATTTTTGTGGTCCCAGCCAAGAAGTACTACCAAATAGTAACCAAGTAACCAAATTGTTGTTTTTACTCTTCACTTTTTGTATGGAAGAACAAATGAGATATAATGTGTTAATTAGTGAACTTTAGAGGAGCTGTTAGGCTGATTTTGTTACAGTTGAGCAGAGCCAGGCTCGCTGTTTCTCCCTGTTTCCAGTGGTATCAATCTTCCCATTTAACTCTAAACACAAAAGCAAATAAGTGTATTTTCCCAAAATGTTAAAACATTTCTTAAAATAATTCATAAAATCTAAGGCAAACCCCCACCTCCCTTTCTCTCTCTCTCTTTTTCTTTCTGTATCTCTCTCTACCTCTATAATTCATCTTTTCACCTCTTGTGGGAGCAAGCTCTGAGAGGCAACCCATCATGTCTTGTCATTATTTTCTGCCCCCGACATGGAGACATAAAACATTGAGGGATATATTCCTCGCAGAACTCATGGTGTGATCAGGGGAATCGGCTGAGTTTTGAATACCATATGGCAAAAGGAAGCAGCTCGTCAGAAGTGAGAATATCTGAACGCCCCTTAGGATCCAGAGAGGATCTTTTCTGTTCTCTCTCCTGCAGGTGAGCCACAGGTAGCTGAGGGGAGGCTGTCAGTACCGCAAGGCAAATGGGACAGCACACAAACACAGAAACAGAAAGTGGGAATTATCTGAGCAGCTACTGCTCAGTTGAAAATAAACATAGACCTTGCCAAAGATGAAATGACTCTTCATTTACAATCGACAGTGAGCCAACAGTGTTAGAGGGAATGTTTAAGCAGAAAAACAGATTTTCCAGAACAATGCATGTGGGTGTGAAATTTGTGTTCACCACACAGCCAAAATGCTTCACATGTGGATAAATGTCACTGTTAATTGTTTTCTGTGAGAGTGAATCTGCGTTGTAACTGTGTTGCCATAGCTACAAGTCCTAAGCTGCATATTCTCAGATATCCCCAGGCATCAGAGGTGAGAATGTTAACAAAAAAAACCTGACAGGATGTAATTGCTGGCAGATGCAGATGTAACTTTAATCTTTGCCCTTTTTATGTCACGCTTGAATGCTTTGACCTATGCAAATGAACCAGCTGACAAATGTATTTGTTTTTGTGCATGTCTGTCTGTGCTGTATGTGTAAGTAAACGAGCATAATGGTGAATATGATGAATACAGTGGAGTGGAGGCCCAAGGTCATAATGAAAAGTCTGAAAGTGAGCTGAAAGTGAGGTGCAAATCATTTCTAACCAGCTAGGCAGACATCAACAGGTTACTGGTATTGATACATTGTAAAAACAATTTGTAAAATGTAAAATATAACCACATAAACTTACAATACAAGAATAAGATAAATGTACTACATATATATATATATATAAAAAACTTTTTACATATAATATATATTTTTTTAATACCGTACTTATCCTTGTATTTTAATTCCTAGTAGAACTCACAAAACACTGAAATTATGCAGTTTTATTATGTGCGCATACAGTCTGCTAAAAGTTGCTTAACTCATCAATAAGATTAATAATAAATACATTAAGTTACTACTTGAGGCACCCTAGTAGCTCACCTAGAGAACGTGCCCTATGTACAAAGAGTCCTTACAAGCAACCCCAACTCGTGGCCCTTTCCTGCATGTCATCCCCTCTCTCCAGCAGCTGTGATCTCACAATGCTTTACTTCTATTACTACTGTTATATTCAGCAAATGTTAACAAGTGAGAGGATGTAAGTGCTGTGACATTTTATCAATTACAATTTAACTGGCTTTGACAGTGATGAATGAGGTTCTATGAGAAAGCCTATAAATCAGATTAAACAGTGAAAATGGGTATTGACTGTATTATCTGCAGTGTATTTGCTTTTAGCCTTTAGTAACTTCTTACAGATGTTAAATCTGTCTGTCTCTGTGCAAAGTCTTTGTAAGTATTAGTCCTCTTTTGACATTTGCCATTAGCGTCTGTACTGAAAAAATCAGTCATCATAATCTTGATTTACTTAGTTTAAATAAAAGCTAAGTCAAATCTGTTGAATACAACACCCTAAATGAAACCTCTGCTGGGTCATGCAACAACTTGTGTCCCTCAAACCTCACCTAGTGAGTGACACTGTAATTCAAGACAGGATGCTCTCCATTCAACTTATTTTAGAAATGATTTCTTCTAATTCAAGCCTTGGTTTTGGAAGCTGATTCAGTTATACTGCATCCTACATTTATTCATTTAATTGTTTAACTGATGCTAAATACAGCCACCTGGACTTCATGTATTATGATGAGTCCCTGTGACTTTGTTTAAAGGCCCAGAACCCTTTAAATAAGTTTATTCATGGAGCTCTGCTGGAAAAAATTACATATGTCTGTGCACCAATCAGGATTAAGCATGATGGCGGCTGCAGAATTGCTTCCTTATGGTACTCATGTATAAAGAGAACTGGGGCCTTTCTCAATCTGCATTCTTGTTGTGTTCTTGTGTCAGTTGTGGCCCAAGTACTGTCCCAAAACAAAAGTTTGCATTTCACCAAGAACGGTTAAATTCCACATTAAAGTGTTCCTTACAAGCTCATTGTACCGAGGATGCATTGGTTGTATGAACTTGCCAGCACAAGATATTCAGGAGCGGAAAGCCTCAGAGAAACAGGCCAACAACAGAACGTATTTTACAATGCATACTGCA